CTCGATCCCAGGTCCCTGGGACCATGACCCGAGCCGAAGGCAGATGCCCAATGATTGAGCCACCCAGGTGCCCCTTTCCCGAAAATAATTTAAGTGGGATTCAGTTCCACGTCACCAAGAATCTTAACTAATTCCAGTCAACTTTATATCATTGTCTGCTTAAATTCTAGCCCATCAGCTCTGCCACAATACAGAAGGCTTAGTACCTTTGAAGTCACACCTTTACTACAATTCAGTGGTGTCAGATGACCGCGCATGCCCTCAGCAAAGACTGTTTCTACCCTCCCACCCCACCCCTTCTGATGACAAAAGTTAAAGTGATTCTTTTGCAATTCTAGACAAGTAAGCTGTTTCAGGATTACAGTAAAGAACGAAGAGATCTGAATTAAGTCTGGGGAGTTTAAAGATTTGTCCAGCCCCCAGAAAAACAAATGATTAAGTGGTGTTTATGGCTGTTATTATAAACCAACCCGATGCAATGTGATACAAAGCTTTTGAAATCCCAAAGAAACAGAGCAATTTGTCAAAGGCCATGTTAAGAGCTTTTGCAAGATCTATTTCCATTGTTTATCAAACTTTGGCTTAATCGTACTTGGATGAGCAAAACCTGAGGCATGATGTCGTTGTCTTTATGAAGACCAACGACTGGAATTGCAGAGACTTAACCAGGGGGATGGAGATGATGCAAATTCACTATTCCTTTTTCATTGCTTTTATTTAGTAAAAATAGCTAGCTTATCAGGCTGCATAAAGCTATCATTAAATCTCTAGTCCCTGTGGACTGGGTCCCTGCAAACCTTGTTCCAGGTAAAGAAAGGTCAACAATCCAGTGTCTCTGAGGGAAACCAAAGTGTTTCTATATGATATGTCACCTTCAGATCCTAGAACAAAATAGTGAGATTATATAGACCCGACTACACCCTTAAGTTAAAGTTAGAACTAAAACACAGATGCTATGGGAAATGTTATAAATTCTAACTTTCCTTACCATATGAAAGTGTTATTAAAATGGCCATAGTTGTAATAATGTCAATAAGTAACAAAAAAGGTAACAACAAAAATAATAAAAGCATTTAACCCAAAGACCTCTAGAGTCAGGGATGTAACTGTGCTCCGTAGGGGAGATTTGGTTTTAACACCCACTCCTAGGTGATCCATCCAATTGGCATCTTCCTATTATTTTCCCTTAATTCTACTCTGGTTGAATACATACTACCTAGACCACCACAAATCAATGCCCGTCGATTAAATCATTATACTGAGAACAGACTTAACAACACAGGCATGACAGCTTTGTACATGTAGACCTTCAGAGATGGAGGACATTCACTTCACCAAAAAATTTTTTAATGCACCTTACCTAATATCTGAGAGATCACACTTGTTTCCAGCAATAGCCATTACAATGTTTTCTGGACCATGCTCCTTCAGTTCTTTCACCCATTTCTTCAGGGTATGGAATGAATCCTAAACCCAAAATGTAAATCAATCAATCATTGGAAAGACCCATCAACACAGTATTTCAACCAAGTAGAAATATAAACCCAACCCAATTTAACAGAGGAAAATATTTTTAGGAAACTCACATACATTAACATCCCACCCCCATCTTGGCACAAAACTTAATATTAGCTAAGTTACACTTAAATAGCCTGTAAAAGTTTCCTTTTCTAAAACTGAAACTTGACAAAGTTAAGAAAAGCATACTGGCAATTTTCTTCTATAAATAACATTAATTTAAAATGATAGCCTGACTCAACATGAAAAAGACTTAAGTCATAGAACTAGACATATTCATGCTTATTTCAGGAAAGAAAGAGAAAGAATACATACATACATACTCTTTCTCTCTTTCTCTCTCTCTCTCCCTCCCTGTCTCTCCCTCCCCCTCCCCCTCTCTCTTTTCCTCTTGTCCTGTTTTCCTTTCTGCCCTTCACTCACAACCCTCCTCCAGCAAACCAGTCAAGGTAGACACCACATTTAGGTAGAAGTGTTCGGGAATTCATGGATGGTAAGAGTGATGGATCATTGAACCAGCAGTCCTGTGCACTGAGTCAGCACTCCAGGAGTGGAAAAAAACAGCCAGCAAACCATTGCAGTTCCTTGATGAATAGCCTAGATCCTCAACATGATAACTAAAAATATGGTATACTATATATATGCAAATACACTACATATACATAAACATTATCCCTGACATTTTAAGTAGTGTGATTGAAACACTAATAGAAAATAAGCATTCCATAATTACAAAACATGCAGGACTTAAAAATAATTTTCCTCTTCCTGAAAACCTGACATTCTGGAGAGCGGTACTGGCAGGCATGGCCTTGCCTCTACTAACAGTCAATTTTAAAAATAAATGATCATTGTTGTTTATTTAATTTGGCCGATAAATTTGAAATTCTTCACTGCATATAGGTGAATAAACTCAATATATGGTGCTGATTATCCCTGGCTACCATGCTATGAAATCTCATTCCAGGCTACTGGCAAGACTCAAGTAGTCAAGTCTCTGCTTTGGTCTTTCTAAGAGAATCAACATAAAGGGCATTGAAACTTTAAAGGGCTTTTATTTTCTTACCTGTTTGGTAATATCATATACTATGACAGCTGCAGCAGATCCACGATAGTACATGGGAGCCAGTGAATGAAACTGTTTAAGAACAATGCATAGTTTTAAGCCAAAGTCAACACATTTTATGCAACTCCAAATTAAATACAAAATTTTCCTCCTACATTATCCCTATAGGATCCCTGAAATCCCCCTAGAATTTTCCCAGGAACCCTATCAGGCAATAAATTCTCCTCCTCGACCGCACATGTGCTTGTGGCTGACAGACCATGAAATTCACTTTTAGGCAAAGGTCAAAAATAAATTTTATTTTAAATGTTCCTCTTCTATGAATTTTCTTTTCTCTACTGCTCATTACTTATCTAATACGACTGACCCAGGGCAATCTCATTAGAATTATTCAATGGTAAGAAAAAGATGCTTGCCAAGGGGAGGACAAAAGGAGACTGACACAGATCACAAGACCCTCGCTGAGTCCTTAATGAGGGCCACTGAGCAAGGGCACCTCCACATCCCGCCCTTAGCCTGCACACCTGCTGTCCCTCAAAGGCACACGGTGACACAGACAAGCTCCATTCCAAAATGTGAGCAAAGCAAGACTCATTGGTCATCAGAATCCTTTATCCCAAAACAGGATAGATAATTATGTTGAGGATACATAGAGATTCCTTGTATATTTTGAAGAACAGATCTTTGGATATATTTGAAGACTATATCGTGGAAAGGTTTTGAAAGCTGAGAAGGAAGAGACAGCTCAACAGAAAAATAGACAAAGGTTATACATAGATAAATCTCTGCGGAAGAGACATAAATTGCCAATAAATATTTTTAAATATTCAATTACAGTAAAAGAAATGAAAATAAAAGCAATGAAGAGGCATGTATTAATTTATTAAATATCAAAAAGATTTATTATATCCATTGTTGGTTTGGATTTGGGCAGGGGGCCACTCTCACATGTTACATGGGAATGTATTTTAAGACCTTCTTGGGGCACCTGGGTGGCTCAGTCGGTTAAGCATCTGCCTTCTGCTCAGGTCATGATCCCGGGGTCCTGGGTTCCAGCCCCTCGTCAGGATCCCTGCTCAGTGGAGAGTCTGCTTCTCCCTTTCCCTCTGCCCCTCCCCGCTGCTTGTGTGTGTTCTCTCTCTCTCTTTCTCTCTCTCTCTTTCTCAAGCTCTCTGTCTCTCTCAAATAAATAAATAAAATCTTTAAAAAAAAGCCCTTCTTATAAAAAGATGCTCAACATCATTAATTTTCAGAGAAATGCAAATCAGAATCACAATGAGATATCACACCTGTTAGGATGGCTGTTATCAAAAAGGCAAAAGATAACTAATATTGGTGAGGATGTGGGAAAAAGGGAACCCCGATGCTCCGTTGGGAATATAAATTGGTGCAGCCACTGTAGAAAAGAGTACGAAGGGTCCACAAAAAAACGCATAACTATATGATCCAGCAATTCCCCTTTTGGGTATATACCTAAAAGAAATGAAATCAAATACCTCAAAGAGATATCTGCACTTCCATGTTCATCGCAGCCTTATTCACAATGCACAAGACATGGAAACAACCTAAGTGCCTACTGATGAATGAATGAATGAATCAATCAATGAAGAAAATTTGGTGTGTGTATATACACAATGGAATATTATCCAGCATTTAAAAAGGAAATCCTGCCATTTGCAACAACATGGATGAATCTAAAACACATTATGCCAAGTGAAATAAGCCAGATGTAGAAAGAAAAAAACTGCATGATCTCACTTAAATATGGAATCTTAAAAAGTCAAATACTTAGAAGCAGAAAGTAGAAGGGTAGTTACCAGGAGCGGGGAAGGGAGTTGGGGAGATGTACTGGTGAAAGGGTACAAAGTTGCAGTTACAGGGGATGAATAAGTTCTAGAAATAGAATGGTTAATGATATTGTATTGAATCTGGAAATTTGCCAAAAGAGTAGATTTCAGGTGCTCTCATCATTTACAAAAGGGAAAAGGTAACTATGTGAGAAGATATGTTAACTAGTTTGACTGTAGTAATAATTTCACTATATCTATGTACATCAAACCATCATGTTGCACACCTTAAATATATAATTTTTATTTTTTTAAAAAAAGAGACTTTCTTTAAAAGCCACTATTGATAATATATATCAAAAGTTAAAATGTGCATATTGTTTGACCCAGCAATTCCACTTACAGGAACATATATTGGAGTGATCATCACACACACCAAGCTATTCATCCCTACGTTATACATGGGAGCAAATATTTTAAAACAACCTAATGGTTCATCATAGAGAATCCATTAATGGTATCTGTGTATAATGGAATATTCTGCAATAATTAAAATGGTGGTGGGGATTTTCATTTACAGGAAAAGCTTACATACTGTTGAAGGAATAAAAAAAAGTCTCAAAGCAGCCTATGAAGCACGCTGTAATTTAGGGAAAAATGTGAGTGGGTGTGTCTATGTATATAGCTATAACAATGTTTCTCAAAATGTTCACAGTGGGATTTCTAGTGATTTGTACATTTTTCTTATAAGAATCTGCACAGCGGACTCTTCCATTAGAGTCTGCATAGCATTTTACATAGCATAAATGTTTACAATGTTTTTTTTTAAAATAAAATAGGTTTTTAAGTTAAAAAAGAAAAAGCAGCCATTTTTATTGGAGAGTAGGATAAGGAGCAGGAAGGGAAGGAAGGATGGATCCTGAAGCTTTTCCAGCGAACAACAGAACCATCATTCATTCATCTTTATTTCCCACATAATACTTATCGCTGAATAAAGACCTGCCAAATTGAAATGATCCCATTTGGAAATGTGAAGCACATCAGTTCCTGAGAAGGCTAGTGCGGCACTCTCAAGAGTGTGGAAAGAAGCAGGCTCTTTCTCAACTCCCAGCCCTTGTGCAAGCCTCCACCTTGAACAGAAATTGCCCCAGTGCCTCTGTGGTTTTCATAAAAGGGAATGGGTTGGATGGAGCTCAGGATGAACCCAGGAGTTCCCAACTGACGGCCCTTGGCCACTCGCCAGGACTCACTGGAGGACAGCGGGCTATTTACCATGCGTGCCTTTCAAATTCACTGCCCAACACTGTGTGTTTGTTGTAATTGTTAGGCATCAATAAATCTATTTTTAATCCATCCTTTGGCAATCCACTCCACATGTAGAAAATAAAATCAGAATTCTTGCCCAAAGGGAGGAAAAAGCAATGTATTTTTGAAACATTCCTGCTTTGCTAAGGGTAAGGAATGCATATAAAGTGTCCTTTAGCCCAATTACATAAAATGCCCATTTTTTTCAAAATAGCTTCCATATAAGAAAGGTCCACTTAAACATACCATATAGGTACAAAACTTATATCTCAAAAATCAAGATACTTGTGGACTCAAGCACAGAAAGGAGCAAATTGTGGATATCTTCTTAAGACAGAGTCATTTTCAGCTATAATGCCATGAACTGAATCTAAAATGGTCACTGGTGGCAGGTTTCATGAATTATTGAATAGATCTTTGTATATAATGCATTACTTGTTCTTTCCTTCCTCCAAATGGAATCATTTTGAAATAAATCTGTTGGTGAAGCCACTTAAATGACTTTATTGCCAGGGACTTGGGGGTTTTAATGAGTTAAAAGTTCGTCTCAGTTCCAAAACCCAATAATGCATTGACCAAAGGATAATATTTGTGGAGGACAAAAAGATAAATCACTTCTGGTCTACAATGTGTATACTCTTCCCCATACAAATATAAAAACAAAAGCATCAAAATTGGCTTCAATACTCAATATGACATAATTCAATTTCTGTAGAGTCCAAATTAAGACTGATGAAAACTCACATAAAAAATTCTTGTAGAAACAAAGTTTCATAATCACAGGAGGTTGCTATAATTTTTAAATCTCACCTTGAAGAGTTCTTTGAAAATTAGCAGGACAGATGCCAATTCAAAATCCCTTCTTCCCTAACTATCCCACAAAATATCTAGAATACTGAATTAAAGTACTCAGATAACTCTCAAGTGACATTTAATTATTTAGAAAAAGCACAGGGAATTGTGAAAAGCCAATCTGACCCTCAAAAGAAATGGCTGTTTATGTACTTAGTGTGTGTGACTGTGTGTTTTTTTTAATTTTGCATGTCTACAGAATAAAAGAGAAGGGAACAGTCTTCTTCAAGCTTCTCAGACTTTTACAGATGGATGCTAACCCTGTCCCCATTTCCAGCAACTAGGAAAGGATAAGTAGGTATAACCTTTCTGGAAAGCAACCGGACAATGAATAGCAAGAGTCCTGAAAATGTTCATACACCAATTCAACAATTGCACTTCTGAAGGGAATGGTCACAGATGGTCACGAAGTAACCAGAATTCACTCCAGAATTATCAGTCATGCTGAAAAACTGGAACCTATTTCAATGTCTAGCCATCAGGGACCAGAAACGTAAATTTGTCTACACTCCCTCTGAGTCTAGATCTCTTCATACTTTGCCCTTAGCCAAGCAATGGACTGCTGGGCAGCAGTGAAACTCACATTTCTGAAAAATAAGAGATGGCATGAGACACAAGGGGAGCAGTCTGATACTTCCCAAGGGTCTTCTACAGAACCCTGGGCTCGTGAGGTGCTTTTTGGAAAAAAGGTTTCTTGGCCAAATAAGTTCGAGAAATGCTATATATAATAATGCTCCCCTGGAGATTGGTGAAGTGTTATTAGTACATTAAAGGCTCTGAAAATTTCTGTAGTAAAGAATTTGTTTTGGTTTTAACTCAGACTTCTCAATTGATTTTTTTAACCTTTTTCAAGTAATATTTATTAACATCTTGAGACCTAGTATGCTCAGAACCCACATTAAAGGCAAAGTATGAAGAGATCTAGACTCAAAGGAAGTCTAGACATCCATGCCTGGCTCTATTCTGATAAAATGCAGGTAGTAATGTGGGAAACAAAAGCAAAAGAAAAAAATCAAATTTCCTTACAACTTACAACCCATTGACAAGTCCTTGAGACAGGGAGAGTGACCTTCCTCTAGGGACTCAACTGCCTCGATGTTAATACTTTAGCTTAACATTAGCCTGACCTCCAAGATCCTGTAAGTCTCCTTTCACATATAAAAATTCCTTTATCTCTACCTCCCCAACAAGATATGTGTTAGCAATCATCCTCCAAGCATATGGCCCACTGATATACATCTGAAGGGATCCATGACTAAATTATTACTAGTAGTAAATGACCTTTTCCTAACAACAGCTAACCCTCCAAGGTCCTGGAAACCTTGCTTCC